AAAACTGATTATGCTATTCTTATTTAAAGTTTTGTATCACATTCCATATTGAAATATCTCAATTTAAATTTAATGTTTTCTATTCGTAACCATAATTATATCAGATAAATAATTCTCAATAAATAAGTTATATAATTAAATAATTTTTAAAAAATTTTATAACATCTAGAATTAAATATAAAATATTATGTATTGCTAATAAACTATTTTCACAAATTGTTAAAAATGACCTACTTGTTTACCTTTTTTTAACGATCTGATATTATTTCCTTGCATTTTATAATAAAGATTTCCAAATTTTCGAGCCAATATTACAATTTTACTTGATTAGTTAAAGATTTTGAAAATAAAATAAAAGAAAAACGCTTAGTATGACAATTTTTTTATAAAAAGCTTAAGACTTTTTAAATTTTTTTTTTTTTTTTTTTTTGTTCAAATAATTCGTGAAAATGATTAATACATATAATTTGTCAAATTTCATTCTTTCAAATAAACATATTTGCATCAATACAACATCAATAATGCATATGCAAACAAAACAAAAATACATATACAAAGGTAAAACAAAGGCAAAAAATATTTATATTACTTATTGCGGTGAAAGTTTTTTCTTTTTTTCAATACTGACATTTTAGATTTTTTTCAACCACTTGACGAAACAAGAATATTCTATTGATCGAGTAGAACTATTACGCGTAAATTTTTTTAATATTTTTATTTACGTACAAATTATATTTTACATTTTTTAACAAACCATTATAAAACTGGCAATTTTCATATTATTTACTTTTATTATCATTATCATTATCATTATCATTATCATTATCATTATTATTATTATCATCATTATTATTATTATTATTATTATTATTATTATTATTATTATTATTATTATTATTATCGCAGATACATTTGAAAAAAGAAAATTCATTCGATAACATTACGGTAATATTTAGAAAATATTATAAAATATAAAGTAATTAAAACTGTCACTAGATTGTTAAAATTTCTTTTTTTTAAATACTACTTCACGTTTCAGATAATATGGGAATGATAATTTTAGATATGGCAAATTTCATTATTTTTATTTTAAATACTACAAGGTGAATTATATAGATAAAATATTTTTCACAAAATCTAATGTCATTCGCAATGTCATGAGTTCTTTATTAATGATTTATTTTTATGGACAGTTTTCAATACACTTATATGTTGAGTTCAAAAATATTCAGAATTACTTGAAATATTAAAAGAATGATACTGCAAGAAAAATAGGCGAATTTTAGTGTTTAAAATCAAGAAATACGTATGATAAAAAAAATATATATATATACATACAATACGTTTACGAAAAGTTCTCTATTGAATTTAAATAATGTAAATTACATTAGTTTATAGAACTTGATAGATAATTCAAAAATATCTTTTTATTTTTTCAAAAAAATGATGTAGCAACAAACAAAATTTTTTAAATTGTTAAACATGAGTTTGGTACTTTAAGCGTTAATTAAAATTTAATGTATTAATATCGATATTTTGATTATAAAGTTGAGAATCCTTTATGAGAAATATTAAGGCTGAAAGGCAAATGAATAGTACGAGCTTGCCTTAGTAAAAACCGAGACATATAGTTACCAGAAAACGTACCATACTTCCTCTTGAATATGTACAATTAAAACTTCAACATCAATAAAAGTGTAGATCACCTCAATGCGTTATTTTATTGGAAAAATTTTACAGGCACTTTAAAATATATAATAATAATAAAGAATTCATATTAGATAATATAATTATTATCTTAGGAATATAGAGATAAATAATTTTTATCACAATAGTCAATACGGAGAATATCACTATATTTATTGCGAAGAATATTGATTTGGGAAAAGTATTTTTATTAAAAAAGAACATTTGCGAAACAGTTTCTTTCAATTTTCTGTTATGTACTTATTGATATATTTTGTATGCTTCGGTTGTTGTTGTTGTTTTCTTTCCAAGGTATCTAGTAAACAAAAAAACTATTTTTCATAAGGAGTTCATGCATTGTTAAGAAATTGATCCAAGATATTTATATCTAATTACAAAATGAGAAAAAAGATGCGAAATATTTAACAATGAAATATGAAAAAGTGTGATAAAATCGAACGGTAGTATTACTCACTATTGTAAACTTTGTGAGATGAAATGTGCAGACAGAATACAAAAAAAAGAAAAAGAAAGAAAGAAGAGGATAGGTAACGCGTTGCACAATACAATGCAAGAAAAAAGCAGATTGCAAATATACGTTCGCCGAAGCATGAGAGTACAATGGTGTATTCGTACCACTTTTTTTTTTTTTTGTTTGTTCCGTAAGTGGGAACAACGAATACCAAAATATTTATTCACGATTCAAAGAGTATTATCCCATAATTTGCACATTGATTGTTATCAATGTACTTGAATCGTGTAAATAAATGTTTAATACTCATATATTCTGTAATATTATAATTATTGTATGACAAAATTAAATTGCACATTTTTCATTGAAAAAATAATCATAACTGGCAAAAATTAATCAACTTATTGAATTTCGATTTTATATAAAATAAGATTAAAATCATTAAGTTTAATGGTGATAAATAAATAATTAAAATTACCAAGAGACTATGGAATGCGGAAATTTAGTCGCCAAGGCAAAGTAATTCAATGAATAATCAATCCGATAAATGAACGTTCCGCGTACCGCGAAACTCCTAAATTAGGAAAATTTTCCTATTTTATATTCTGTTTAATTCCGAACGTAAACAACGATTCGTAATAATATTAACATATCCGTGAAAAAAGGTACGAGTCGAAACCTCATTCGTTTAAAAAGGTTTTACCACGAATATAAAGGTATTGGTTATTCCTCGAGCTTACCACGTAAATGTAGAACAATTTGTTTGTTTGTTTGAGTTTTTTTTTTCTTTTTAACATTCGTTAGAATGAAAGCGTTACGAATAAACGGCCAATGTTGCTAAGTAAACATAATGGTAGCTAAAGTTTTACTAACAAAAAAAAAAACTTGTGCTCAACTGCCTCTAGGCGTGGTCTCAAATCCCCGTTGCTAGGCGATGATGACACTCTCGAGCTGCAGAGATCGGAATAAATATTGCACGCTCACACGTGGTTTTTTTTTTTAAATTTCCTTGCTTTTATAGTAAAGAAATTGCTAGCGACTCGTGCACGTGCTCGCATTCTTTTTTTCGTTGTTTTTTCTTGTTCGCACGGTGTACCGCCACGGCTAGAATGCACAATTGCGTGCGTTAGTAGTGTGGCATATTTTACTAGACACCGAACAATCTACGCACTATGGTTACGACGAGTGACTTAACTTGCAAATACTGTGCATTGAGTCATTAAGCATTACGATATGATATTTTGGCGTAACAACCGAAAGTTTTAATTTTCAGGCGATGATGAGCGCTACGATCATCAAAAATTATTTAAATCAACTATCTATACTATGCTGCTCCAAATTATCCCTTTTTTTTTAGTTTTTTTTTTTCTTTTTTTTTTAATAATATCTCAGGAGCATACTTGTAATACAAGAGACAAACATTAACATGAAATTTAGAACAATATAAATATAAATATACTGGACTCCTTACGTTGTAACTTCTTATTTAACAAGTACTTTCTTTTAGCTTATTTCTTATCCTTGATTAATTCTTATGTCTTTTCATTTACAAAGTTTAGTTGTACTGTAGTACATCATGTACTTTCATAAAAGTCACATAAAAGTGTTAAATAATCGTAAAGTACTAAGTTGGCTTTAAATTTGTTTTATTTCCCGTACTAAGCAATACCATCGCATCACGTGCTTATGATTAAAAAAAATTTTTTTCCAATCTATATCGGATATATATTGTATACATGATACATATATATGTATACATACATATATAAATATATGATACAAATATATATTGTACTTGATAATTGAATAATTTATATAATATTCCTGTAATTCATCGTCATGGCAATTTTTCACTAAAACTTTTATTTAAAATACATAAATAAAATTGACGATACAGTTGTTGAATTAATTCATTGTTAAACAATTCATGTAATGTAATAATACAGTCGATTATCAAATTCATTCTACAGCTAAGGAGAGAGCCTAACGGTAAATTATGCTTATTTAATATTATAATTTTATAATATTTACAGATGCAATATACATGCAGATGTGTAATACATCTAATAAAATCTTTGTATTCGTTCAATATGATTGATTAGTTAAAAACATCCATGTAGCCAATATCAATTAAAACTATTTAATATAAACAATTAACAGTTTGTTGATATTATTTATTAGGATACTCTTCTACTGTTCATCTATTGCTACAATAAGGATTAATAATTCACTAGGCATGCAAAAGTCAATTTTGAATTAATAAATAAATCAAATAAATAATTTACTATTTTAAAAGTAATCGATACAATATGAAAATAATAAACTTATTCAACTATATAGGAAATTTATGTTTTTGAAATAACAATAAATACACTTGAAACTATCCAGAAATTAGCAATGCAACCAAAATCTAAAAGTTTTCAAAACTATCGTTACAGCTAAAATAACAACTATAAGCCTCATTCGTTTAAAAAGGTTTTACCACATTTAGAATTCATAATATAAAATTATAATCGTGTACGATTGTTATCAAAATCATTCTACTAAATCATAATCATATGGTCAGTTTTAGAAAAATCGAACCCTAAACTTGATCGTATATCAAGATATAACGATCTTATTTACATTTTTATATTGACATTTATAAGAAGATATTATAAATTTAATATGATTCACGTGCGCATACCTAATCGTGAGAAATATTTTTCTTTGAAATAATTACTCTCTAAAACTATCTCTTTACTATTAATAAGATTTGCCTTAATTATTGAATCAAATCAAAATATAAGTCCTCTTATAATTCTCAAAATATCCATTGTACATTATCATAGTACAATTATTGTCACCTGCCCATATGACCATAATAATACAAATGCCTAAATACTCCTAGTAAATGTACCGTATCCTCCAGGAAGGCCATCAAACTTTGAGAAGCGTCATCGTGTATTTTTTCATCCTCGTCGACCAATACATAAGGGGCTTCGCATCCATTTTCATCAAGCCAATCCCCGATCGCCGAACCCGACGATAAATCACTAGTGTCCTGCTGCTCCACGACGAACTTCAAAAGATCGTAGTACCATAACGACGTAGTATACCTCTTCCTGGTCTGTCCATTGCACACGCCGACCTTCGACTTGCGCATTTTCTTGTACTCCCTACGGAAGGCCGTCCTCAGGGCATTTATCTTCCTTATGACGCTGTTCTTGTCCGCCCGTGGATCGACCTCCCGCATCTTGTCGACGAGAGTCGCGTAAGCGCGATCCTTGACAAAGCGGTTACGGTAATCCCTGCAGCTATACTTCCACAAACACGGACAGGCTTGGTAAATTTCAATAAACTCGGAGAGAAACTTCTCGCCTTCCCGGAGCTTACTGAGCTTCGACTCCATCTCTTGCACCTCGTCTTCGACGGACATTGTCAAGCCGATTTACGCGCACTCTCACCCCCTTAACCTCTTTTATCTTAAACGTTGTTGCCTTCCCGAGAACCCGACAATCATTATCAACGATCCTTCTTCTCTTCCTCTTCACTTCTTCATAGCATCAATGACGGCTGAGATTCATCGAGTATTCCAAAACCTGCAAATACGAAAAATATTTTTAAAAATTTCATAATCCTCTCTCTCTCTCTCTCTCTCTCACGCTCTCTGCCTCTACAATTTCCCATCGTGATAGACAACGACGTGTAATACTCGCGTACTCACCTCGTTTGCAGCCTTCGCAGACAATAAAAGCACCAGTAGCTGCTCAACGACAACGAACAATCATCAACAATACGAGAACAACGAGCACGAGAATTATCAACTACTTTCACTCGGCATTGCTAATGACCAACGCATCGGTTCCTGATCGCAGCGTCTCCTCTCAAACAATAAACCGGCATAGCTAGTGACGCCACGGCGCTGGTGCTTTGGCACTCCTCGTCGTAATTCGTCGGCTCCTAGCCGAACCGCACGACACTTATTGGTCGATCGTTCCGCGCCAAGTACGAAATCGCCTCAAAGTCAAGCCTCCTTGTTCGTTAAGGATATGTGCACGAGGATCTGAGAAAAAATTGTTAAATTCGTTGAATCGACTGTGAAGATGTTGTCAAAAGTTAATAAATTTGATAAATGAGATTTATTTTCTAGATACGATACTCGGCTACGCTTTAATTTTTAATTTACAAACACCGAATGATAATTTTATTATATTAAATTCATAACAAATTAAAATATATATCAAAAAAAGAAAGAAAATTATAAATAATAATAGAATTTAAACGCAAAAAGGTAGGTATGTACATTTTATTGCAAACAGCATTTATTATTATTGAAGAAATAATGGATTTTAATATTAATTATCTAAAATAATCATTTCGTAAATAATCATTAATTTCTAACTTGCTATCCAATTAATTAGGGCGATCATTAATTTTAATATATAAATTTATATTATAATATTATATAATTATTATTATTCTCCATTACACCATATTATTATTCGTAATATTTACATATAAATATTCCATTTGGTTCATCATTGCTATTAGATGAGGTGAAAACGAATAATTTTAGATATTCGTAATAGATTTCAAACAACTAACTGAATGTAAATTGTGTCGAGCACAATGATATCGTGTATCACAAACTTTATTATAATTCTATGTTACCTATGATCTTTTATCTATTTTTCATTGTAATTTATCTTTTTCTAGTTATGGTCGTTCCATTCACGTAATACATATACTTTTGAAGATATGATTTAAAAATATTAATGCACGATAGCTCATTTTAAGGTTAAAAATCATTATTTTTTTACAATAGAATATAATTTCTAAACTAACGATATTACACGACATATTCATATTGGAAATCCTATCATATTTTATTGAAATTTTAATACAATTAGAATACGAAACAAATTTTGACTTAGTCCCCAAAACTTGATACTACTGCTAAACTTTTATCTTTTTCAATGCATTAATTTCTCTAAAATTTAACATTATTTTTACTTTATTTATATATTTTCATTAAAATATACCCATTCGTCAAATCAATCTAAAATGTGTACGTGTATTATTCATTGCACAAGACATGATTAGTTGGATATGAATAATTCAATTTATAAAATTACAAGGACCGCATTGAAACCGCGTTTTGGAGTAATTTTTTAAACAAATGACAATTACGTGTAAACGCTATATTACGATTGCATTCACAATTAATTTCAACTCATATTAAACATTCGTTAAACATTTTAATGGGAATTTAAAATTCTCGATTATTGAAAACTTGAAATAATATAAAAAGAAAGAAATCAGTTTTATTTCAACATTTTTTTTTTTTTTTTTTTTTTTTTTTTTTTTTTTTTTTTTTTTAATACATTATTTTAATATTTAAGTTAGAGATTATAATTCGAATTAAATGAGATACGGACAATTTATTAAATAATTTTCATATAAATTGCTACGTATTAGCTAGTATATTCACTGAGTTTGAAATTCTTGTATAGTCAAGTGAAGATTTTAAATTTCCATGTACCATTTTCTAGTAGTAGAGGGAGAAAAAATACTCAAGCTTGTCATAATATAATGCGTGCATAAAACTTATTTGCTAAAAGAAAATATAATTTTACGAGTTGCAATGAAATTACTTGAAAATTTTAATATGTGCAATACAAATTTGATCGTTCACGTTGAAATTTTAAATTCAACTGCAACTTCTCAACACAACGACATTTAATACAATCATTTAAGGGTAATATTACGAATATGTAAGCTTCCATACATTTACATGAGACAATAAATATTTTAACTATTTTAACATTAATATTGTTTTATTATATATATATATATATATATATATATGTATATACCATATATGCGCAGAAACTATTTTCAACTTCTAGTTCTGATAAAAATCTAACATTTCAATATTCTATGCAGGTATGAAAATGTTAGAAAAATTATAGAATTTATTACTACATTTATTACTACAATTCGCTCCTTATCAAAGCATGAAAATAAATTAATATTTACAACTATGGCTTCGAGTATCAGCACCAAACTGTTATTTTTTGCATAAGATTTATAATTTGCTTTAACTCAATATGTTCCTCAAACTAATGACTCACAATGCCAAATTGTTTCTTTTATTTACTCGAATAAACATCGTTAAATAATAACACTGTACTTTACATAATAATATTGTTAAGATTTGTATAAGAAACGTTCGGTTTGATAAAAGCAATATAAATCATATTTGATTAACATCTTGACGACTAATATTTTTTATAATCCCACGTGTATGCTAACACATGCAACATATCCCTCGCATTTCAGATTATATTTATTTCACGAGTCTTATCTTTTATATTGATAGTTCTTGCTCGCATATTCCCATTGTAGACAGCGTTGGCGGATGCGCAATATGCGAATGGTGAGCCAAGGGGGAATTACAGAGCGACCATCTGTGACTCTTTTTTATTATGGCATTGTTTTATGTTTTGCACGTGCCGAAAGATCATTACTGGGGGTCACGAAGCGCATGCATTAGTAAAAGTGAATGGCGATATCTAGGCGTCGATGAGCGGCTGTTAGCTACGGAATAAATCCATGCCACCCACGCGATTATGTACGGGTATGCGTATATAGAGGTGAGATGATGAACGGCGACCAAGCAGCAGCGATGGGCTCAACCATTCGATTCTTTCGTTCTCATACGTTAATTCTTTTTCATATCGTATACATTTGAGAACATGGAAGTAAACATCTCCGCCCCCACACCGCCGCCGATGTTTGATTGGTGCAAAGCAATGCTTTAGTGAATTAGCAAAGTGAATTAACATAAATAATGTTATACCCATTGTATTTTAGCACTTAAAAATTTATGTCTAAAAATTAGAGCGTTTGTTGAACGTTGTTGTTTTTTCATCTGCCAAGTGCAATTGGATTGGAAAGTTAAAAGCAAAATTAACCGGATTGATTGAGAATGTTATGCCGATACCCAAGTACAGAGGCATATTACCACGAGAATTATAAATTCTGTTTGAGAAAGGATCGATGAATGTCTAATGCTAAACCGATAATCTCAATGAGAATCTAATTGAGTGGCACATGTCAAAATTTACTTATAAATATGAATGTGTGTGCAAGTGACAGTAGAGATGACATGTAGGAATGAGAGTTATTGTAAGTAACTCAGAATCGAAGGATAAGACGCCCCAAAATGCTTGTAAATTTAAATTCAAATAGTGCCTCATTGAATTGGGGAAAAATACGAAAATAAAGAAAAATAGGAAAATATTTACTTTTTATTCATTCCAATCGATGCTTTTATTATCATCTTTATACATTTTTTAACAATTTTTTAAGATTACGTTCTGATAATCAGCAAAAAATTATCAATATTAGAATTATGTTAGCAAATTGAATTATAAAATAAAGAGATTATCTCGCCAATTCCATAATGATAGAATAATTAATTACAAAAAAAAACAACTGCATTGTAATTCCTAAAAGATTATTGTAAACTTTAGAAAAAGTAAAATGTCTTAAAATGATAAATAATCAAGTCGGTGTAGATACTACAGAAAACAGGGAAAAAAAATATATTTATACGATAATCAAATCAACCCACCATAGGTTTCAGAATATATATGACCAAAATGCCAAACCTCCCCCCCCCCCCCGCCGGGGGGGGGGGGGGGGGGGGGGGGTGAGTGTGCGTGTGAGTGTGAGTGTGAGTGTGAGTGTGCGTGTGCGTGCGCGCGCGCGTGTGTGTGTTCGTATGCCTGAAATATTAAGTAATAAACTATTCTAGAATAAATTATAATATTATAACTAAAACGAAAACGTTTTGTAATTCGATTTAACAAATTTAAATTATTTAACAAAATTAATATGCTTTTACACTCAATTGATCAATAGAATTATTACACATTTATAGTTAATGATTTTTTGCTTATATTATTACTGTGCTTATTCGAAATATTGTTCCTCTATTGTACAAAAATTTCAGAAATAATTAACAGTGTACAGTTACTTATCAAACAATACTTTATTATTTATTAGTCATTTCAATTTCAATTCTTTTCAAAATTTAAGTGATCTCTAAAATTTATTGGAAACAAACTTATACTTAAATATGTTAAGAAACAGCTATAATGTAACCATAGAAATAACATAAAAATGATTCTATTTCATAATGTATATCATGTGTATTGATTCTAATAATTACCTGCGCCAATGAATATTACACAAAATTCATAATGGTCCAAACATTATTATTGAGATGCTATTTATTCGTAGATTACATTAATATTAAATGAAAGTTCGAGCTAAATTATTGCTAAATTTTCCTAAAATGGATTTTCGAATATACTTCAACAAATAATCTTCATAAACAAAAACACTACTTTATATATAGTTGTTTTATTAAATAATAATTATTTTTAAATTATCAACGATTGATGATCTTTATTAAATTTCTTCAGATTAATTTTATATTCTTATGTAAAAATGTTTGCTACTATTATTTCAGAAAAATTTATTATTTTTTATTCCTTCAATTACAAAATTACTATCATATATTAATTTTAACAGAGTCCGTTAAACTAGTTACACATAACAAAACACACTTAGCTTAAATATGTGTGTTTATATGTGTGCGTGTATGGATGGGCAGTGAAATAATTACAATTGAAAAAATACACATACGTTAATAACATAATATGCAATACTTTTAAAACATAAAACAATATTATATTGTGTTTCATTATAAAATTACCATAGAATAAATTGATTTTAAAAATTCTTCATTTAAAAATTCAAATTTTAAAAAAGAATATTACTATTGTACTAGAACAACGTCAATAAATTTGAAAATTAAAAAAACATTTATGGTAACTAATAAATAATTTTATTAAATATACAATAATTCTTTTTTTCTCAAAAACTTATTATTTTTTATGCACATATATTTTTTGTATGTAAATACACACAGTTAATAGAAAAAGTAATAAACTATAATTGCGGACTTATTGTGAATAATAAGTAAATGCTTAGTTGAATTTATATAATATTATTAGTTGTAAATGTAAATAATAGATATCTCATACTCGAAAATTTAAAAATTATGTTAAATGTACAACCCATATTAATAAAATAAATATATTATTCATATTATTACTTAAAAAATAATATAAGAATGGCTTATTATAGGACTATATCTATAGATAATTTAAAGGACGATTGATTTTCTATTTTTAAAAAGAGAATTTGTTTAGAATAATTTAAAATAAAAAATTTCTACATAAATTACTTAAATTTTTTTATATGCAATGTACAGTTCACCTATTTAAATAATTATGGAAAATTGAATAATATGTTAAAAAGGCTAAAATTATCTGTTCTAGACACTAATTTATGAGAAAATTTGTAAAAAATAAACATAATTTTAAAGCCGGTTTTCTATAACTTTTATTCAAATTCTATTCACAAGAAGAAATAAAGAAAATATTTTAGATGAATCCTATGAGTTGAGGCTTACATTATGAATTTTTAAATCATCAACAATATACGATAACTAAACCCAATTGTCATTTTTGTTCAATAAGTTAATGTTCTTATTAAAATTATATGACTTTATAATAATTAGTATTCGACTATTTGATAAAACAATATAAAAATTAGTTTACACTATATCTGTACAATATAAAATATATTTTTAATTATGTGAAAAATTTTATTTAGATTTTGGTGATTGTGATTATAAAAGAAATACTGAATATGGAATAATGATTCGTTAAATGACAAACTCTACTACTACATCCCTTAAAATTATTTTTATTATATTTAAATAAAAATACATTTCTGAAATAAAGATTACTAAATTAATCATAATATTAGTTTTATGATTAAGATGTTTTGTTTTATCAATATCAATTTTATTAAATTAAGACACGAAAACATCAGAATTATTTAATGCTACAAGATTAAGGAATGTAAACGGGTGATGATGATCACTAATAATTTGATTTATTTCATCGATCTCGGATTGAATCATTTCTGTGGCCTTTGACTCAATTGTCTTGAAAATAGACTTTTGGACAATACTTGTTATAGCTTTAATAATAAGATTATATATTTTGTCTATTATATGTCCTTGTATTGATACGTTGATTTTTCTGTGAGAATATTGATAAAGGAAAATTAATAATAAAAAAATATATGAAAATATTATGAAAAATTCAAGATATTACATTAGCAAATTGAAAAGTTTTTGTAATTTAAAAGATACTCTAAATCTATGTTGTATTGTGAAATATTTTCATTTCATACGATTACGATAAAGAAACGAACTTGATATTTTCAACGATTATAAAATACATTTTTTAATTATGACTTTAAGACTTTTAAATTATTAATAAAAAAAAAAAGTAATTGTTAATACTAATGTTTACTATAAGAATTACCTTTTTATCATTATAAATTTTCACGAATTAATAATAAATTAAAATTTGTTATTTGGGGTATTGCTTAAGCAATGCATATTTATCGAAATTAATTTAAATTAAATTATAAAATAAAATTTTACCCTTTGTGAACAAATTCTAGACGCTTCAGTATTATTAGATAATTGTTAAAATCTACGTCTATGACCGTATTAACACTTAAATGAGACACCTTCACATGCGCATCGCCTTTCCTTGACATAAAAATCATTTTCAATTTGTAACGGAAATCAGCCTGTAAAAATTAGAAGCATAAATATTATGTTAGAATTGCTTATTATTAAAAAAATAACTTGAAATTATATTTTATATATGTGAAATAAATAAAGAATTTTCAATCATTATTCAATGTATTAATAATTTTATAATTGAAACATTTTCGTTCTATATATATAACCTTTCAACAGAATTGAGATATATGCATATCAAATTTTTAATATTTATACTGCAAATTTATTGAAATAATGGCAATATTTATTATTAAAAATTACTAGATTAGTACGCTTACTTTTAAAATAATACAAAATGGCTATTATGGCTATTAGGAAATTCTTAGCTTCGATAAACCATTGTTTGTAGAGTCGACTCTACTCCTCTTTTCATCCAGGCAGAATTTTATCATTCAACCTGACCACCCACTCTTCCACCCCCACCCCCACCCCCCTCACCATCTCTCTGTCGCGCCAATCCCTATCTGTATTAGAAGGGATGTTGAGAATTAGTATCTACTAAAGGGTGTTCATAATTAGAATATATGATGTTATTATACGTGAACGTCTAAAATATTTACCTAATCTTCAACAGCATATCTTACCATCTAAATTAAAATTATTTAAATGAAATAACGAATCGTTGCTTATAAACAATAAATCAACAAATACATACCAAGAAAAACGAAATATGCATTATTATGGAGTTTATGACTTATGAAAGAAATCTTATTCAAAATAGACGATCGATGATTAAACTTATCGTCTCTATTTAATAATATTTAAAAATTCATTAATAATAATTAAAAATAAATAATAGTTAAAAATTCTATTTAAAAATTTAATAATATAAATTGAATGCTTTAAAGTAAAGGAACAATTAACAATTTGAAGTATATATATATGTAAATTTAAATTCTTCGATATTATAAAAAACAAAATAATAAACACGTTTATAAATGAACAAACAATAGGATTTTGAATGCAATTATTATACGAGTCGTAATTAAATCGTAATTAAAATACATTTTAGTTTTTATTGATATTACAAATTCTAATCAAACATTAAATAATTGTGATGTTTAAGTGAATCTTTAATTTGATATAATATTATATAAGAAACAAAAATAATCGCCATCAGATTTTTCTCTATGATTATTATCTTAATCCAAACAATTATATTAGACAGGGAAAACTACACATTATTATTTTACAATAATATTGAAGTACAACTTTGAAGGAAGAGTAGATAGATAATAATATAATAAAATTAAACAATTAAAATTGATAAAACTAAATTTCATATAAAATCAATGTAAACAAATAAAATTTATTTATTTTTATACAAAAATAGTGTTGAGACAGCCGTAGAAGATAAATAATTCGATGAATACTTTATTCATAATCTGTTCGATAATTTTAATTTAATAAATATTACAATTTAAATGATTAGAGACTATATACATACTTTAAAACTTAATTAGTAATAATTTCGAAATTTATAATATACGTTCTCTTTTTATCAAAATAAAATTATCTGTACATTAAGAAATATATTTTAAAATATTGAAATGTATAGAATATATATGATTAAAAAGAGACTATCATTGAATAAAGAAACACTTACGTAATCACATGAATTCAAATAATATTTATTGTAAATTTTCATTTATCGATATAAAATAAAATCCAGTTGATTTAATAATTGCATGCAAAGAATACTATACGATAGTCACATACAAAAAAAATTAATTTTATACTTTAAATTTAAAAGTTATTTTTATGTTTATTATATACCCATGTATATATATATATATATATACATTATATAGTTTTATAATAAAAATAGTTGTAATTTAAAAATAAAAAATAATATTACATTATCCACTTATGTATTTATACATTGGAATATTATATGGCGTAGATAAATATCTTGTAAAAATCTACAAAATAATGATAATAGCCACTAATTCATATATAGATAATATAAATAATTTAGACGATTACTTAATATAAAGTACATTTATCATCCTCGATGAATTGTTTCGATATCTGATTAATTATATTAGAAAATAAAGTTAAAAAAAAAATTTTTTTTTAATGAATTAGACTTACAACAATTTTATCCCATCCAAAATTTATGTCAGCAGTTAGCACCTTATTAGTGTATGTGAGAGTGCATGGACCAACTCGATTAACTAAAGATAAATTTTGCATCCATCCGTTGCGAAGATCTAAATAGATCTATAAATTGAAATTCAATATCCTGTTAATAATTGAGCTACAATATACTTAGTGGCAACATATTTTTTGACAATTTACTTTAGACGTTATAGGATAATGTATAGTCTTTAGGTTCAATGGATCTATCGGTAGTAGAGCGTCTTGAATACTTTTCATATTCTTATCGATAACTTTGTCAAGACTCGCTTTATCAATTCTGATCGCTGAACTTCTAAATAAAAAAGTATACGATTATTTGTTTAGACACGATAATATTCAAACATAATAAATTAAACATGTAATATATTGGAAATAATAATAACAATGATAAAAGCAACAACGACAATAACAATAACAACAACAACAACAACAACGATAATAATAATAATAATAATAATAATAATAATAATAATAATAATAATAATAATAATAATAAAATATAAATATCCCATAATTTGTATGATTGGTGTGATATAACAAACTAATCTATTTTTTATAAATTCAAATATGTAACTTTATAAAGTTATAGCTTAATCATATTCTGAATTATTATTTGTTATTTATCATATTTTTACATGATAATTAAATTTGTATCTATTTATCGCAAGTATTTTTTTTTTTACTTTCTTTTTTGAAACTATTTAATTAAATTCACGATCGAAATTCGAGTTTTAATTAAAAGTGTTCACAGTTTTTAACGTGTGAGACAGTAAATAATAGAATTTTGACTTCGTTTAAGTTCAAGTATTTTTTAAAAATTTCATACTTTACCACTTCGATACTACAATAGATGCAGAAATAAAAAAGTATTAAACATAATATCGTCAATGCGTCCGATCTTATTTTCAAACTTATAATATGACTATAATTCTCGGACGTGTAATTAAAATTTCCTTTTTTCGTTTCTATTGCTAAATCTTTGAATTCAAATGTGGAAAAGCTAAAGCCTAAGAAATATAAATAATGTAAAACTCGTTAAACGAGAAGCGAGAATGCCACGATCCACCAAGAAAAAGCAATAATGATTAATCCCCCAGCGGCGCACGCTCCGCGGCCCCAACCCCCTCGAAGGACCACCGGCTCGCAAGACTAACGCAAACTTACGGGAAGTGAGGTTCCGACGGCGTAACTTCCGCATCGCCGACGCTGGCTAGTCCTAGTCCCTGGAAGAGGAGAAGGAGAAGGACGATAGGCCTCGAGAGGCTCAGCCGATGCGTGAACATTATTAATTGGCTCTGAAGGGACTGACTGCCGGAGACGTGAATGTCAAAAGCTGAACGTCGAGCTATTTATTCGAAAAAATAGCTTAGGCTTATCGACGATCTTATCGCTCTTAAATCGATAGACACCATCAGCTGATCGATCCACGCCTTCTTATCTTCTATATCCGACTATTGTGCGCAATCGCAAAGACGGCCGAGTTACATCTGGCATTCCGCTGGGTCTGAGGCATTCTTTTAAGGTTTACGTCGGCCTCTTCATGAAAATCCTTCACTGATAAATTATCTACTGATAAATTAAATAAAAATTTTGTTTCACCATTGTGAAGTCTTTATTCACTATAAACTACATTTGCAATATCGGACTGTCGAATTCCCTTAGATTCATAATTCGTTTTATTTTAAAGCGATGTTTTAAAAATAATTTTTATTTATAAACAAATTATTATGTATTATGAATCTTGACAATATAAATGTTCTGCATCAATGACTATTCAATTCCATAATTATTACGATGTATGTAAATTCTAATGCACATAGATGATGTATTTTGGCATTCGTGAAGACTCCAATTGAATTCCTTAAAAATCTTGGCCTTTTCCATATAATAAACACAGATTATCAATAATTGATACAACGATTACAGAAATGCAAAAATTAAATTAAATGCGCAATTTATAAATTTTTCATTACAATCTACTAAAATAATTACCCAAAATTATAACGAAATATAGCAAAATAATTATATATGGAATTCTCTTAAACTATCGATACGTGTGTAGATTAAATTATTTATTGTTTATGTATTTAACATGAATTAATAAATTCCCAAGTGCGCATTATAATATAATAAATAATTACTGATAATGTATGTGATCAAAAACATGTATTGATTTTAACTATAATTAACAAATTTAAAGAATGAATATACAATTTATTTTTAATTAATATTATTATAAATGAATGATTTCGTTTTTCGATCTTTATCACATAAAATTTGCCCATGAATATCTGATTAAAGACCGACATTATTCATACATTCATTATAATATTTAATTTAAACATAATTAAAATAATATGCTCATTATGGTATTCGAGAACACAAAAGAATTTTCAAGCGCATATCTTTCTTACATAATAATTCGGTCAAGTTGTGCGCCCATAAAATATTATAAAACATAATCAAATTATCAACAATTTATAATTTCGTAATTATAAAATATTTATTTCAAAGTTATTGCACTTCATTATGCTTATTTATAATTATTTAATAATAAAAATCATACTAATGACTATCGGATCACCGATCATCATGTGATATAATAAGTATTCTAAAATATCTTCAATAATAATGAAGAAAATTTCTTTTAAAACACAGCAGTGTTTATTGCTCTGTCATAAATAATTGAAATTTAATTAAAGTTTGTAATTAAAAATTATAAATAAAGAAAAATACATATGAAACATTATATGCTACCTGTATATATGTATCTCTTTAATTATATTTTTCCATGCAACGGGTTTTCATTAGCATTTTCTAATATAGATCTCTAAAAAAAATAATCAAGTTTACTTTATTCGTATATGTTATTTGTAAATATTATATAAAATTAGACTATGGACAAATAATTTTTTAAATTCATAAGTATCATAGATATCTGTAATGATTTAAAAAATAATTATTTTTAAATTTGATTAATATTTTCATTTTGTAAATGTTTTGTGATTATCTATCAAAGAAGTGTATGCACCACAATAGCCATTTTCCCTTGTTAATTTAATGTATTTCTCAACCAATAGGAACTCAAATATTATTCATTAATATTGAATATTTAATCTGTTTATTATTATAAGACACAAATTTCTTTAAAGTACATACTCATTTTCATAAATAAAATGTAACCAGATTATTAATAGATCTTCTACCAGCACCAAAATATATAATAACATAATATTCAATATGTAATTTTCAAACTTCATTTCTCTATTCCAGATTGTCCTAAAAATATTAATAGCAAACCGCAGGTCAATAACTTTTACTCGTAAGCATATAATATGTAAAATAATTTGAAATTATTAAATTTCAAATAAGACAATATTAAATAAACAGCTTAAAAGTAAATATCTTATTTAAAAACTTCTTTGCAAATATTTAAAATAAAATAATTAACAAAAAGCTAATTTTTAATTATTCTTCAGCCCTTGTAAAATTCTTAATAACCAAATAAGTAAAGTCGTTAAATAATTGTAATAGAATAATAAGAAATTATATTTTATAAATTTTTAAGTAGATACGTTAAAAATTACTTATAACAAAAAAAAATATACATATATATTAATTCTAAATATAAATCAATAAATATTTCTGTGTTTGATAAATGTAATGAGTCTAGGATTTACTAATAATTCGCAGTATTTACCGAACAAATGCTTACATTTACGTCACGAATATGGAATAAGTGTTTACATTTGAAAAATATTTAAAATAAATGAAAAAACAGGTCGTGACTAATTGTTTGACTTCATCTTCTTTTATTACCTTTTCCTTTTAAGTAAATATTCATGAGAAATAAACTCTATCATCTAGCGCTATCTATAATACTTTTATGATGGCTAATTATGAGATTGAAAATTTTTATTTACCAGAAAATTTAAAACATCGATTCAGATACTTAAAACGCTTTATTTATTGAAGACATTTATAAATCTTTTTTTTCTTTTTTCTTTTTTTTTTTTTATAATATTTGAATTTGATTGAAAAAATTTGTTTGTATGCTTTATATAGTTTTAAAACAAGGTAATTCAGTATAATATAAAAAAAAACTTATTGTTTTTTATAAAATATTGCAATCTTAAGCAACAGAATTTCTGATAAAGTAACGTAAATATATTAAGCTGATTATTCGAATAAACTATTACCTTTTTGTCAACCTAATTTCGGCCATAATCAATATTCCTTAAATTAGAAATTGTATAAATATACATGCATTCATAGATATGTACATTCGATTAAAAAATTTAATTTATTGCTTAAATATATTAGTTAAAGTGAACTGATTGAGAATATAATTAAATGTATTCGTGTAAACGCAATGTTGAAGAAAGTTAATTCCGTAATTGACCTTTATATAAGAAATTGATCGAAAATACATGTTTTTCATCGCGGTTACCAATTTCAATGAATATACACTGACTGAATATTTAACGTTCATTAATTAATAATAAATCTTTGTAATTAGTCAACGTCTTAAAGTTCATTGTAACCACTGCTAAATATCTTCATCTTCGTTATTCAAAATGTAAAAAAATTAATGATCATCAAAGGATGGCAATCGGGACATTGGCTCTAATTTAAATAGATACAGGCGAACATGAGATGTAGAGATATTTAAAAACTTTAGTAGCTGTTTGTTTGTTAATTATATTTGAGTAAAAAAAAATTCTTACTTCTGTTCTCTTACCTATTGCTTGTATTTGTTTTTCTTTCTTTTTTCTTTTTTTTTTTGTTTTGTTTTTGAATATTAAAATTTTAAACAATTCCTCGTTCTTCGACTTGATATTCGTATTATCAATCACAAAAACTCATTATAAGTTGGCACAACTTCTAGCTCCAATAATATATGTATTTGCGAAGACACGCCGATCTTGGCTCATTTTTAATTAACACCTGTCACTTAAGCGTTGGTGTATTCAAAAAAAGATATACCGGTCGCTCGGTCCGTTGGTCGGTGGAATCTGTCATGCGTGACTGCAATACCAGCCACGCGAGAAGGAAAAGAAACGAGTACTTCTTACGTGCCAATGACCCCCCGCACGCACACATACGCACAACGCATCAGTGGCACATGCATGTGAATCCATCACGAAAAGGGTGCTTTTAACCCTCTCGTAAAGAGCGCTAGATAGTATAAAGAGGCACTTTACACTTCCGCAAAGCTCCTCTCTTCTTCTTACATTTTTACTTTCATTTGATTTTCATGGCTCGTTAAAATGCATATTAACTTTAAACATTTATTGTCTTCATTGGCAGGATTTTATAAATGGCTTTGTTATAACGATAAATCATATTTTCCAGTTAACTATCTAAGTATCTAATAAATAAAAATCTTTTCGAAAAGAAAAAGTAAAATAAAATTAGTGGTTAGCTATTTACAAATTAAAAAAATTTTGTAACTATAAACTTATATTGTACATAATTGATAAACTGATGAGATTGATTTCTTATATTTCTTATAATTGTTGAAATACAATAATTGCATCTTACATTATTACGATAATACGTACGATTTATTTTGGACTTTAAATCAACATTTATATAGTTGATTTATTATAAAATCGAACTTTCCATCGAGAGGTAAAAAATAATAATATTTGCCTATGATGATGATTAAAAATGTTCATAATTTTGTCATAGTATTACTTTTAATATAATATTCCAATTATACATTAGTTCGAATGTTAATTAATGTCAAATTTAGACAAGACATATATATATATATATATATATATATATATATATATAAATATATAGAGATAAATCATATAAAATATATAAAAACAATATTTCAAATATTTTCTTTTAGACTTACAGCTCTGTTAGTCTAATTACGCGATACAATGTATTATATAAAAAATTTTCTCTAATAAATAGAAACAGTCTCCATTTTATTAAACAAATTATAAAATTCAACAATTAATGGACTTTTATAATGGACACGCGAATGACAATAGCGCGTACGTTAACAACAAAAAAAAAGTATATTTTTTCTCTAACATAACGTTCTTGTTTGCTTAAAGAATAATTACTTTATTATTAAAATGTTGATTATGCAAAACTTGAAGTATCGAACATAAAAGGGAAAAATACTAATTCACAACTACGAGCATAATAATAATCGTAAAGGTAAAGTAGAAGTTACGCTGACGCATTCTAATTAGTGATCCAAGTTGTTTTTGCCTATTTGACAAGCAATCATTTAATTCGATAAATTATACGTACGGAT